ACAATATCATCAGGTAGCCGACGTTTGTTATTTCTAGTTGTTCTTCTGTCCACTGGAATATTAGGAATACCATTTGTACGAGTGACATTTACACGATCAGGATTAAATTTTGCTGCTAGGAACTATGAAATGGAGAGTTTATTTATTATATAAAGTATTAAAATACTATAAACATAGTAATTAAATTAAAAAATTACTTTTAATGCTGCCTGAGTCTTTAATACAGAATTAAAACAAAAATAATATGAATTCCATCTAGTGTCACTAGGTAAAGCCAATTTTATTGATTTTTTATAAATCCTTATTTGCTCATCTCGAAGATTACCCATAAAATAACCAGATTTATGGAAAAAACTAACAATCCGAACTGCCTCTTCAGATATTCTTTCAAAAATAGGACTTTCTTTAAATATTTCAGCAAATACCAAATTCATCTGGTGAGCCATGCAAGGAAGAAATATTTTATCAGGATATTTTCTTCGTAAAATTTTTCTAATTTAAATTTAAATTGTAAAAATTAATGTAATATATGTAAAATTTGAATCAATAGTTATTTTAATCACACACCTGGCTGCAACATACTCCCCAGCAGAATCAGATATAAATGCTGTAACATTTATGTTTTTATCATTAAGTTCATTCATCAAGTTTTCAAAATGATGTATGACATCTTGTGTTTGTGATCTTTCAGAAGTAGTTTCTTGAGCACCATTTGATGTAACCAGTACTACTTCCCATAGCTTCTCTTGTTTTACATTTGACCAACCATCAACAGCAACAGTTACTCCATTTTCATCTGATTGAGCAATTTTAATGATTGATTCTTGTAGATTTTTAGATGTGTTTAGCAAAATTTGTTCACCAAGTTTTTTACGTGTTGGAAGTTCAATGCCAGGTGCCAAAAAATTAAAAAATGCTTTGGTATCCTCATTTTCTATAAATGAAAAAGGTAAACCATTGGACACACACATCCTAAGAATCAAGTTTTCTAAATAAGGGATATCTTTCTGAGACATTGGTCTTCGAAGGTAACCAGAAATCAATGGTTGTTTTTGAATAATTGATGATGCTGTTGAAGTATCATTTGTAATATTTTTTTGACGTTTAGGTTTGTTCTGTTCAACTTTATTATTTATTGAAATTATATTATCATTTATTAAAATTATATTAATTATCATTTATTAAAAATAAATATTATATTATCATTTATTAAAATTATATTATCATTTATTAAAATTATATTAACATTTATTAAAAATAAATATTATATTATCATTAAATCATATTATTATGCCTTCTTCTATTTTAATAATATATTAATTAATCATTACCTGCATCATTATTATTATTTTTCAATTTTCTTTTCTCTTCTGCTACTGGGCGTGATAAGATTTCAGATATTTCATCATTATTGAATGCATTTTTAAAATTAATGCAATTTGATAAATGAGAACGACAAAGAATTGCTTTATTTGTTGTATAACATCCAGGTATTAAAGCTGCAGCTTGAGCACCACCATTTTTTTCACTACAATACTTGCATACTGCTCTTGCATTAGTTTTATTATTAGGATTATTTATTAAAATAAAAAATTCTCTGTAACAATGTGGATTAAGCATTCTTTGTTAAGTATTTAATTTTTTTTTACTTGCTTCAGGTAAAGTGGTGTTTTTTTTACGAGAAGTTTTGGTATTAATTGAACATCTTTATAAAAATATTTAAAGTAAAGGTATTTTATATTGGGAAACGTTCTGTTAATTGATTGGCTAATTTATGACAAATGACAAATGACTGATGATCATAGTATATGACCATTGGTCATAATAGTCATATGACCAGGTCATTTACAACAAATGACAAATGACCGATGACTGCATGTCATATGACTAAATGACTTGGTCATTTGTCATAAAGGGTATATGACCTTGTCATATGCCAACACTGCGCAGTAGTAAGATTGAAAAAATAAACAAACAAAATAAATAAAAAGGAAAGGAAAATATTGAAGTACCCAAAAAACAAAGACACCAATACTAAAATCATTAGCATTGGTATTTGTAAGTTCAAGGTCCAATTTATTTCTTTGATGATTAATAAAAGAGAAAAGAGACATAAAAATTCCATTTTTAATATTTTTTATTAATAATTGTCGATCATCTTGATAAAATAATTTTTAATCACGGATTGAAAATTTCAATTTCAATCCAATCTCAATCCAATCAAATATTCAATCTCAATCTTAATATAATAAATGTTGAAGGCATCCATTATTAGCATACAATATTGTCACACCTATCACCTGTCATTTTCAATGTTTGCCTGCAAATAATAAAAAGGAGCAGTGGGATGGGTGATAATGGCACAATAACCCATCTTTTCCAAGATTTGCCCATTACACCATGTAAATCATAATGGATTAAAATCTTTTCTATATATAAAATCACACAATATCTAAAGATTATAATTCTGACTATTAAAATTTTTTTTTGTAAATAATCCCTTAAATTTCCCTCTTAAAATAATTAAGAACCATTGCATAAATCATCTGAGTATTTAATTATACCATAGCAAATAACAATCATTTGTGATTTAATCCTACAATAATTCATTGCCTGTAATACTCTTTATCTTTATTAGATAGGCATCACTTACTTTGCACTATCTCAGCCTGCCTTTAGATTGAGGTTTCCTTGATTCCACCATAACTTTTATAATTGGCTTGGTCTAAAGACCTCCTAGATTTTGCACAAATTTTAAAAATATAGAAGTCATTTTCTGTCCTACCTTTTAAAAAAATAGCTCTATTAGTTGATAGAATAAGGTTTTTAATTTTAATGTAATAGAGATTTTCTCAAAAAATTATTTGTTGTAGAGTTCTATTCTTTTTTAAAACATTTACTATGCTCAGAGCACTAGGATCATTGCTAAATTTAGGCTAGTTTTCGATCATCATTACTAAATTTAGACTAATCCTCAACAATCATATCTAAACATGTGGGCCATTTTATTCAGTCACACAGGAAAGCATCACACGAAGTTGACAATCATTTATTACTTGAATAAATAGATATATTACATTTTTCAACAAATATGTTTTTTGTAAAGGGATTCAAAGAGATTCAAAGGCATTCATGTTTTGTTATACAGTGCAGGACACCTAATCCCGCAACTTACTGCGCCACGACGACGAATTTTGGGAAAAAATTTCCAATCAAA